AGCCTCCTTTCAGGTCCTAAAAGGCGAGACCAAGCGTCCTTCGAATTCCATCTAAATCGACATTCTAACATCTGTTGAGGTTAGGAAACACATTTTTCCTCTTTTCACCGATAGATCGTTATCGAAAGTTGCGAACGTGACAGCTGAACGCCATAAACGTCCAGGTTATCGTGTACAAAATGGACACGTAGTGAGAAAACTTAGGTAGAGGAATATCGACCTTCCGAAATCTGCTTTTCGAAACCCGCCATTATCTGTTGTGCGTGGCTCTCCCTTTCATGGAAAAGGCGTTGTATGTTCAACAGATGTGGTAGGAAGGGCCGAAACGCGACAGTGGCGGCCAGATGAAAAAGAACACCACCGATGGTAAAACTGTTTGAAAGGGGGAGGGAGGGAGGGAGAGGTTCGAAAAGTGTTTCGAAAGTGGCGACCACCATGGGATGAAATTCCATTCGTTCCGAGCGTGTTACAGAAAAATTCCTGAACCTTCTCATCCTTCGATACGACTTTTTTAATTTTTCCCTCGTAGAATGGAACGTGTGGGAATGTTTTAATTTTGCTACGAGAAAATTGTTAGGTTAGGTTTTTAAGGTTATTAAAATTGTCGATGTTTTCATATTTGTGATTTTTCTTAAAACTGTGTGTTTCGTGTTACAGTTAAATTTCATTAAGAAATATCGATCATTTTTATAACCTCAAAAATTATACCGTTTTTGTAGAATAATTTAAATCAAAGATATCGAGGGACTATTAAAAACTGTGCACTAAAAATCATTCGCAACAATCTAACCTAAAAAACATTTACATACATCGTCTACAGTCTACTTAAATAAAAAAAATCAATACGCTACTCACAACTACTTCGTATCGTGCCACTTACCATTCGAACGCAATTTCGCGACTCACAATGTGAGAAAAAATATAACAACGCCATCTAGCGCGGTACTTGCTTCACGCACAAGTACCGCGAACGAGACGTTCCGATTATTTATCATCGTTCGTTTCGCGACCCGCGACAAATATCACCCCTCTGCACCACATAAGAGATATAAATAAATTGATGAGAAAACGCGCGTAAACATCCACAGAGATAGGTGGTCGTACGAGAGAAACACCGAAAAACCTTCGTTCTCCGTCTCTCTCGTTCTGTAAACGAAGAAAAACGCCATCGAAAACATGCACGTTTGTCGCCGTCTAAAAATACGACAGGCAAACACCGATCCCACGATGCTGAAAAAAGTCATCTTTACATTCGTGCCTATAAGAAATGCTTCTATGCGTGAAAATTGCATTGGCAACAATATACAGTTGCTACAGAGGGGACGGGCTATTTCTGGGGAGCTCGTTTTAACCTGTTAACTGTGTCCCATACTTTAGTCTGATCACGAATTCCTCGGATATATGATTTAAAAAATTGAATCTTTCGATATAAATATTTTTTAATTAAACCTCATAAAGGATATCGATATACGACGCTTTAACGCTTCTATGAAAATCAACAACACATGTTTCGATGGAACGACAGAGTCTCGTTTGACGCGCGAATCCCGTCGAGCGAGCACAGTGCCGGTGCGTGTGTCCGGAGCTCTAAGGGGTCCTTCTATCCCCCCGAAAAACAGGAACACGCAGGACCGAGCCACACGGCGGCGCACACGGGGGCACATTTTGCCTCGGTTCAACTTGGAAGCCCTCCAATAGGCTCGCCTGGCTCGGCCCATACGCGACCGCTGAAACCCGTTTTAAAAGTCCGTAGGAATGCGTGCCGCCGCCGGGCCTTTCACCTCTTTCGCGAGAAAATGTATTTTCATGCTTTTCGATCGCGTGCACCCGTCATCCGGCTGCCGCGTTGCTCTCGCGCCGGGGGATATAAAATTTTACGATGGAAAACGCAGGAGAGAGAAATCTCTGTTTCCTAATTGGTCTTTTTTTTTCCTCTTTTTTTTACTTGAAACGTTACGTTGGAAATCGGAACGACCTCAACCGAGTCACAACATTTCCTCCAGATGATATTTTATGGACACGTAGTATATATCGAAGCGATATCTGTTATGACGGTTGCTATAGGGTTGCTCGAAGGAGCGTAACAGGTTCGACGTTACGCTAGATTAGTTCAAGGAGTATACGTATCGTGTAATGAGAATGAGATTCTTGTATGTTTGGCTATTACAAGCGCGATTACACGCTTAAGCTTCGCCCCCGTCGAAAGAGATGTAGATAAGTTATCGCAGTTCGTCTAAATGCCCGAATGTAAACACTACGATTTCTATAAATATTTGCGTTTGAAATTCAAGGTAGACTACCGTATAAATGTATTCCCCTATCGGGGGGGAAACAGTTTTGAATTTTGGGACATCGTGAAATAGCCATGTAAATGCGTTGATTAATGATAAATTAGAGAATGGAACATTCCATGCGTTCTAGTGTACGTTTGAATTGAAAAAAGCATGCAAATATTACCCCCAAGTTTTCCATCAAGAAAAGTCGATATCGTGCTGGGGGTATTGTCAAACTGTCGTAAAGATCGCCAATTGTGAGAGAACGGATGGTCGATACGATGATTAGACAAATCTGCGATTGAAACGAAATACAAACTGCGCAGAAAACGAGGAAAAGCGACTGAAAACCATATTGAAAGCGCATTTAAACATTGCTCTGGACGCACAAAGGTTGACAAGAGTCGCCATTTTGAAATAATCGGCAAAGGATCCACCTTCGCTCGTCTTTATTTTCGAATAAATGAACCTTGTCGATTCGATGGAATCGTGTATACCTAATTCACGGTACATCGAATACATCGAAACTTCACTCGGTTATGGTACAATGACGGAAAATCGAAAAGGACGCGTTCTTGGTTACCCGGAAGAAACACAACGCCTAGGGTACAACCTTGGGAGCATTATACTCCATCGATCTCCCCATCCCTCTCCGTGTCACGAGTTTTCGAAATTCGAACAGTTCTCGACGACGAGCAAAAAGAAAATATAAACGAAAGCTTACCTCGTATTTGAGGCCGTTGAGTCGCAACCATGTCTCCACTTTGAGACAATACGGCGAGATAGAGGGCAGAAGCGGGATTCGGGAGAACTGATAGAGATAAACAACGTCCTTCTCGAAGTTGGTCTTATGCACGCTGATAGCCTTGGTCGGTGCGGAGGATGGCGTAGCAGCCGCGGCGTCGGCGGTCTCCTCCTTTTTCCCACTTTCTTCCTTCTTCGCCGCGTCTTTCTCCTCTTGCTTGTTGTCCGGCGGCGTTTCGTCCTTCAACGCCTCTTTCATCTCCTTCACGTCCTTAATCTCCTTACTCTCCGGCCCGGTGTTCTCTGTCTCCGTTGCCATCGTCATCTCGACTACTTTTCACTGATCCGACCGGTTTCAAGTGAAAACGAGAAAACGCTTCTCGAGCGAGCGAGCGAACAAACGTCAAAGGGACAAGATCTCGAGCGACACTGGGAGCCTATCTCTCGAAGACAGCGCGCACCACACAAACGTACGCCGGGTACTCGTTGATCCCTCTGCTCGCCGGCCGGTTCCTTCTCGTCGCTGCCCCGTTCTGTCCGCGGCTCCTGTCCCCCCAGCCGTAAGCGGCGCTGCGCATGCGCAAGCGCCACACCCCACTGCCATCGCCATATTTAATTGGTCCGCCACCCCTGCCCGGTCCGCGTGCCGCTCTTCTCTCTCTTTCACCGCCGCCTCTACCTTTCTTTATTCCACCGACTCCCATCGGATCCCTCCTTTCCTCCCGTGAAACCCCCATAAGCAGGCTCGCTTCCACTTCGCCGTGGTTAGTCTCCAGCCTGGCAACACTGCCGCCACCGCCACCTCAAGAGGGCCGAACAAACTCGCAACTATGTATTTAGGTACCCTGGGACGAACTATCGAATACATTCTGATAATAATCGTGTTTTTTTATCACTTAAATGTCATCTCAACTATTATGTACTTGTATTGATTGTATTGTGATACCAACAGTATTATTTCTTAGGTTGGTACAATATAAATAGTTAGTTTTTTTAATAACTTGTATTTCTATGTGACTATTCGCGTATTCGAAATTTGCATTAATTACGATTCCATCGCCCTCTCGAGAGAGGCCACAGAAGGGGCCCCATATCATCGTAG